TCTCTCGGTAGCACCTCAGGGGCACCGTGTCCAGGTCGGTCTCGGAGTACTTGGCCGCTCGCCCCACAGCCACCCCAGAGCCCTGCCCTGAGCCCACCCCAGGTGGAGATGGGGGGGCCTGCTCTGGGGGCTTAGCACCTGCAGTGTGCACAGGCATCCGGGTTAGGAGGTTGTCCAGGTCAGCTTCCTGGCCTGACTGTTCTAGGAAGGAAGTCATCCCCACTTCACCATTCCTCCTGCTACAAACTCAACTTGTTCCTGGTACCAGTGGAGTTCATTTTCTACTCCAAGGACTGATCCTTGGTATCCTGCCATCCCCTCCTTCCACTACCCAGCTTCCTGCAGGTGCCCAACCCAGCCATCATCCCCAACCCCTCCATCCTAGCACATATGGGAAGACAGGCCCGAGGCCTAAGGAAGCATTAGCTGACACAGGAGCCCAGGAAAGGCTGGGGGAGGTTTAAAGGAGGACTCCCTACTACACCTCGGTGCTGAGAAGGACCTGCCCTATTCCCCTTGCTCCAGTCCCAGCCTTACCTGAGCTGGGGGGTGCCAAGGAGCCATAGAAGAATTCCCATTTGGCTCGAGCGATTCTCTGGGCATGAGAGGAGACTTCCCGGGGTGAGGACCAGGTGTCTCCCTAAGCCAAGGAGGGAGAGGTAGAAGACACCCAGAGATAAAGCCAGACATGCAAAGGCAAAAGAAAATGGGACAGAAACACAAAGAAAAACACTCAGGGACAGAGATGGAGGCGCAGAGACAGAGGGACAAGCCCAGAGGGCAAGAAAGAGATTTAGAATAGGAGTGAAGGATTCAATGAGTAGCCCACGGGGCCAAAATGGCCAAGGAACCCAGTCTTGCCCCTTCCGTAGGACTCTGGGGTTCCAGGGAGCCCAAGGGAGGTCGCATACCTGGTTCAGGAGTCCAGTGCCAGCAGGTCCTCGGAATAGTGTGGCCAGGTGCTCAGAGGGCCCCCCCAGCCCATTGGGGAGAGAGGAGTAAAGGCCATCTGCCCCGGCCTGAGGTGGGGCTGGCGGCCCGTGTAGAAGGCCCTGGCTGCCAGGCAGAGCTGAACCTCCTCCGGCTGGGAGTGGGTCTGAAGTGGAGGCCTCCAGCCGCAACTTGCGGTTGGAGCCAGGCCCAAGAGCTGGAGTGGGCCTGGGAGGAGCGACCCCACCCAGGTCCCAGCTCCGACTCAAGCCTCCGGGAGCAGGCAGCCCATTCAGTGGCCTCACGCTGGCCTTCTCCACAAAGCGGAATATGACTACGGAACTCCGGGCCCCTGGTGGAGGCTGCCCAGTGGGTGAAGAGGGTGCCCAGGGTGAGGGAGCCACACGGGGTGAAGGGGGGCCACGCAGGGGTGTCGAGGGTGCTGTCACACGTCCCAGGTCCCGGCCTCGGGGACCTGGACCTGCCACCCGCCGTAGCAGGGAGCCCGTGCTGCCATACATGCTGGCTGGGGGACTCTGAGGCACAGGGCCTTCGGGGAGCCAGCGGCGTGGGCATCGTGGCGGGGAGATGGCACAATCACCTTCAGAGCAGAAGCGCATGGCACCTTGGGCCATGCTGGGGCCCGGGGGTCAGGCTGGGGGGGCAGGGATGGCGAGGCCAGGCGGGGAGTGAGGGGGCAGCATGCTCTTCTGACAGGCCTGCAAGAGAGGAAGGGGAGCAGGGGGTGAACTGCCAGGGAGTTGGATGGACAAGAGAGCAGAGACAGGGAGGGGAAAGCTGGCTGGGGCCACTGAGCACCAGGGGCCTAGCCCACCCTGGGACTGTGGCTTCATTGATCCCTCCCCTGGGGGTAATTAGGCCTCCTGCTTGGGCTACTTCCACGGAGGCCTGAGGAGAAAAGATTGTTCCCTCCAAAAGGACCCTGGATTCTCTCCTTTGCCTGGGGG